CAAAAAATAAAATAAATCCACACACATACACGCAGAAAGAAAATCTACATTAGTCGCAACATGTAAATATATTTTTAAAATTTTTTAAAAAAATAATAATAAATGAGGAACAAGGGAAGAAAAGGCTATAGCACATACAGTGCATCAATGTCTATCACCAAACAAGACTCCTACGATGCTTCTTAATTTTCTAAATGTTAGTTATTATTATGTTCTATTTCCACTGTTCACTGATTACAAACAATATTTAAAACAATATCAGCCACAACTAAACTTCCCATTGTCAAATTCCTAAAAGACATCTAAAACCATTCTAATAGAAGTTTAAGATTAGAAAATTATTCTAAAATGAGCTAATTGCTGTAAACCTGAAAGGGTTCAGTACCAAGATAGCTTTGTAGCATTCGAATTACAGAAGCACCTTTCTTATAGCTTATTGCATCAAATATTTCATCTATCTCAGAAGCATGATTTATCTCCACCTGAAAAGAAAAGTGTAATCAAAGGAAAATTTTAAAAATACTTGATATTATAACACCTCATGGAATATTAAAATGTCATAAACTAGTCTACACAAGAAGCACCTCAGTGGGGTGAGATTCTTCAAGCCCATCCAGCCTGAGACCCTCAACAGATTCATCAAGAAACTGAGTCCATACTTTCCACTATGGGAACAAGCTATCCGTTGCTAAATAGCTCACCTATTCCATACAATTTATTCTAGATAAGCAGGTGTTGTGAGAGGTAGAACATAAAAACAAAATTTTGAACCATAATGATTTTACCCATGTTGCAAATCCCTCATTCAGCCATAGATGTGTCCACCACTCCATGGTTACCAGATTACACCGAACCATTGGTGCGCTAGTTCATGGGCTACAATGGTAGCAACCTTACAAAGCATCCACTCTATGGGTGTATTTTATAGAAGCAAACTGTGATTCTTGTACAGAGAAATGAATTCTTCTAAAAATCCCAAACCTAAAGTTCACGGTTCAAGAAAACAGCTTACAGAATTAGAAGCTAACTACAGTTCACGGTTTAAAAAGCCCAGAAATTCAAGACATAAAACAGCGTACAGAAACAGAGGCTATGGCTCAAGAAGCCCAGAAACTCAAGGCATACCTGAATCAAGACGATTTCACGAGAAGCAAACTGTGATTCTTGTATAGAGAAATGAATTCTTCCAAAAATCCAAAACCTAACATTCTAATTTGGGGTGTTGCGCAATGAGGGAAGAATTCGTCCGGGCTTCGAGTGAAAAACGAGGGCTTCGAGTGAATTGCGCAAAGAGGGCTTCGAGTGAAAGAAGAGGGCTTCATGGCTTTTTCCTTTCGTTGACTAAAAAGCCCTAAGAGTGGGAATTGTTTCAAGTTGAAGCTTGCGGAGAAGTGGGCAGAGCAAGAAAATCTCTCACATTTGGTTCACCGCGTGAGAAGAGTTTTGGAAGTAAATGGGATTCGACAGATTAGGGGAAGAGGCGAATGAGGTTTTTTTTTTCTTATGTTCAGTTCGTATCGTATGGGATTCGGCAAAGTGGTGGAGGAGGGGAAAGCCAAAATCGGACCAAAAAAAAAAGAGGGAGGAGCGGGAGTTTTGAAATTTCCGCGAAAAAGGGGGAGTGAGAATTTTGAGATTTCAAAAAAAGTATTTCCACTATCCACCCAATATCATTTTAACGTGTACATTAGAATATATTTAAATATATATACAATAAACCAGTCAAAATTTCATGAACTTTTAATATAAATATATATAAATATTATAACTATTTATAAACGCTATTATATATAGATGATATAACGTTTTTTCAAAAACGCTATAACTTACCGCTACAAAAAACCTATTGTGGTGTAGTGCTAATGGAGGACCATGTTTTTTCGTTACTCTACAGACGGCAATGAAATCAAGAAATCAATGGTTTAAGAACAGAACGAAATGAAATCAATGGTTTAAGAAATCAATGGTTTAAGAAATCAAGAATGAGGCCACGAGAGTCTTGGACGGCAATGAAATCAAGAACAGAACCAAACACAACTTTTGGTAGCAAAAAATGCCTTTTTATCACCAAAATAAGAATTTGGTAGCAGAATCATGTTTTCTGCTACCAAAATTT